TTTACTTTTGAATGAGATTTCGAACGAAAAAATCCGTCGACTTTTGCTTACTGAATTATTTCTTCGCAAAAATCAATTATTAGCTGCCAGACAATAATGTGACTCTGGCATAGTGAGATGCCCAAATTGGAATAAAACAGGTTTCATTAAAACAAAACGTGCAAATTGATAAGTTATTTGGAGAAAAAATCCAGTTTTTGAAGACCACAGGGAATACACCTTTAAGGTTAGCTCAACTTTCTGCTGTTGTACCATCTAAGGCCCTTGAGGAAAAAAAAAGTATCTAGACTTTCGGAAGCTAGCCCAAGGACTGGGGAGGATTATCCGGAAATAGGATTATCCCTTGAACTTCATACTCTAAGCCTAGGCACTAAAAAAAGTATATTTTTAAATTCCAACACATACAGCTAGGCTATCCAAGGAAACACTGGCTATTCCTGCTCCACAGGGCGTCCTTCTTAATTAAATTTTGATTTGATAAAATACAAGAAAAATTCTTTTAGTCATATCCCTTCCACATGGTCATTGTTTGGTTCTTTGCTATATGAGTATTAAACTTCATCCCCTGTTTATCTGGCAAGCATTTATAATCAAATTCTAAACGGAAGTATCACCGTCATTTACAACATCAGTGGAACACATTCTGCAGCCCTTTAATTCATTTGCGGGCCCCTCCCTCTCCCCCCCCCCAAAAAAATTTTTTAAACATTTTTTAACCCCTCCCCCCCCCCAAAAAAAATTGACACCAAACAACAACTCATTTCAAAAATGGCACTTTTAAAGAAATTCCATTTCAAAAATGCACGGGGGACTAAAACTATGCTGAAAGTCATGCCATCAAGTTAAATCTTTTGTCATGTTTGCATTCTAACACTCGTTCATGTGCCAAATACGGATCTTGGCCATTCTCCAAATGTCTGAATCACAGGTACTCAGTCCAGACACTACGAGGGTATTTTACATTTGATTCCAATAAGTCACATGCAAAATACCGGAAATCCTTTGCAAAGGTTTAAAGTCAAAATTGGTTACACCTCCAGAGCTATAGACAATGGCATTATATTAGATATTCTCCCTTGACAAAAAGTGCATCATATGACAGCCCATAATATACATATGATGGTTATGATGATTCATATCATTTGACATTTCTACAATTTCGGCATTGACTTAGATTGGCTGCAAATACCACTGCGTTCCTTTAGCAGGGATGAGATTGTCAATTGCAATTTTTTTTTTCGAAGATTGACAAAATGTCTGCAAAATGCATATCTTTCTATACTAAAAATGTCTTAATCTCAGATTCACAAAAGTCTGATTCAGCCAAGTCTAAAAATCTCATGCCTGCTTTAGGCTCTTAAATCAAATGTGATGTTGAAATGTTACAATTGTCCACAAAAACACTTACTGATAAAAAAAATATACTATTCTTTTCTCCCTTCAACTCATAACATCAGTGGTTGTAGGGGGATCTGCTCCCCCTCCCCCTTCAGCTATTGTGCAATTTTATGCTACTAGTAAAATGGTGCCAAAAGTAATAAATAGAATGCTTAAGTTCCCAAATTTAATCTCCAGTTAAAATTAAACTTTATAATAACATTTAAATTATCACATTTGAAACACGTTCAACAAAGTCAACATTCAGACGCAAGTTACATATTTGTATTCATTTATTATCCAGTACAAAGTTAGAGTTGAAAAAAGTGTATCAAAAATTGTACCACACATTTGTAAAAAAAAAAAAAAAAAAATGCCGACATGTTTTTCCAAAAAATGAATATATGAATGGCAAACAGTGAAGATTTGTATTTCGCTTTGCAAGAAAATATGTAAACTCAGACATACACCTCAAAGTCTATTTTTGTGCAAGTACATGTACAAAACACATCTAGGGATGTTTAATCCCAATACAGTTCACGCTTCATGCTGCACGATTTAATTATTGAAAGGACAACAGCGTGGCATTTTTTCCATGCTTCACAAGTTTAATTCCTCCATCTGGAAACATAAAACATATGGCGGAGGAAATGTCAATTTATCCACTGCAATTGTCAATATTGACATATTGAAGAAATGGAGAAAATTACAAATGGACTGGCCACAGATGGTGCTTTTAAATTTCATTCATTTTCATTTTGCAATAATCTAGGAATTTTATTCCGTCAATTCATTCATGGATAACCTTTGGCAAAACAAAAACCAACAATTCAATTAATTGAAACCCTCCTATGAAAACGTACATTCCATGCCTAGTAGTCCTTTCAGTCAAAATCAATCAAGTGACTATTTTTAACAGTTAATTCCCAGCCTACATAAAGCAAGATTATAAAACTGGCCGTGACTGTTTATGTTTTGCTTTGGCTGTGGGTAATTGATAAGCCAGCTGTGCCCACAACTTGCCTGCTGTGTCTGTTCATGGTCTGTTGACTGAGTTTGACTAGTCACAGTGCTTGCTTAAAATATGATCTGACTGCTGGTGACTAGTCTGTGTTAAAAGTATAGCAGGGGAAGTGGATGGAAATTTTGACTCTCTGTGACTGTTTAAATAGCAGGAGGGTTCATTAATAAAGACTAGCTTTTTTTTGCCGGGAGTGTTTTCATCTATTTTATATGATGTTTGGGTTCATGATAATATTTTTTTTTCACGAATATAATAATGTTGCTTAACTCAAACTCAATAGACTTTGTTCACGAGTCAGCCATATTAAACTGAAAGCGATGTAAACTCATCATTTTTGGACCTTGCGAGTAGAAATGAAAGCAATGAAAGATAAGTTCATTACAAATTAATACCAGTCTGCTCTGATGAATAATATAAAATTGTATTTAAACATACCCTTATGTTTTAAGCCACAATTTAAAAAAATTTGAAAGTGATGCTTGACATGCACACCAATCATAAAATAGTCTGGCACCATCCCATTCAACAGTTTACTATTTATAAAATAGGATCAGGAACACGATCGAAAATGGCTTCCTCATGAATAAGGTCTATTGTTACACTGTGTAGATGCTATAATTCCGTTGGTCCAAAATAGTCAGGTGTCAAATTATAAACAAATGTTTAATCTATCTAATGAATTAATTCATACGAATTACCAAGGCCTCCATATGTTGTGACTAAAAACTTCAGGTAGTGCTTACTTAAAAAAACCAAAAAAAAACAATAATATACTGCTTACAGGAATATTAATTCAACTTGAAATATTTGATGGCTTTTTATTATTCAAATTAATTTTGACAAAGATACAATAATGAGTGGTTTTGTTATTATAACACCTGTTTCCACAGTAATGAATGCAAACTTTGCCTCGCCTTTTGTCTCGTCATATACCAACACTTTATGCTAACAGCTGGTCAAACGAATTATCGTGTGCAATTATCTGCACATGTTGTTTCATTTTTTATGAGTTTGTTTTATTTGTTTCTTTCACTCTCATAACCGGAGCATTACAAGGCCATTGCACGCTCCACACGGTCTCCACACAGCATTTACAAACGGCAACTGAAACAAAGGGAACTTTCAACATTGTATTAAAAATATATATCGAAAATGGGATTCCAAATTTTACAGTTTCAGTAGCGTTTCATATTCTTCCTGTCTCGTTTTTATATTTCCTTCAACAATGCTTTGTATCTTTCTGGTTAAAATTTTAAAACACTCTTCATGCATATAAAGACAGGTAGATTTATACATGTACATTGTTATCCTACAAAAATAAATATCAAAATTTGGCATTTTTTTTTCCACATTCGACCACTGACAAAATGCCGTGCCAGTCAAATATTAAATTATAATTGTACATACAGGGTTAGTCAAAAAGATAGTGACCTGGATTCATGATTTTTTTTTCTTAAAAAGCAATCGAATTTAATTCACGAATGAAGTATGTCCTAAAAGAGCATGTTCTTCCACTCATCTGAATAAAAGAATTACTGAAATTGATCCACGCTATCAGAAGCTGTGCATGTTTTACTAAAGGCATATGTTTTTATAGCTGTCCATGGAATGCCATTGGAAGCTATTGAGCTGAGTGAGAATTACAGATTACACACAGTCAAATACAAATGGGATTTTAGACATTTGAATCAAGACTGAAACATTAATTTTACTGTCAGATTTGTGTTTTTAATATGAGGAGCAAGTCAACTCTTCTTTTTCTGAAATATTGATGGCGATTTTAGTCTGTTTTCCTTTGCAAGTTTTTTGTTCATTCGTGGAGGTGGAAAAATGTTCATGTTTCACTGTATTTAATATGGATACTCATCAATTCGTAAAATGATAAATGATCAGTGGTGGACAGCTGAATTTTGTGTTCTTTTTATTAAAAAGACATAACTTGGGAAGAGAGTATGCAAATTAAATGAAAAATTTTCACAGTTACTAGTCAATAACACGCACTTTATCCCTATGCTATTTTTTTATGAAATAGTGTGAGTCAAATATTTTTTAAAATATGCTTTTTCTAATTTGGTCACTTTCTTTTTGACTCGCCCTGTATACATTTATGTTGTAATGAGTTTACAGTCCAGGTGGGGCTAGCTGCTGAAATGGCCATCTTTGTTTTCGTGGTATCTATAGTCACAGTCCTTCAGTCACTATCTGTACCTTCCCAAACTGCCTTGGAAATCAGGCAGTACAATGACAGACCAGCAGTTTTAAGGCCAGTTTATATTCAACACAAAAGCGAATGAGAATTGTGATGTCACAGCAAGTTTTCGCACAGGGATTTTGCACAAGTTTGAATCGTTTCAATTCTAGCAAATTTTGTGTGAAGTATGAACTGCAGCTGATTTCACAACACTGTAAGCAATTGCATAACTCCACTTGCCCAACAATTTATTTTGTAAGTTGCACAACATTTCACGTTGCGCAACATTTCAGTTATGACACATTTCAGGAAAGATTTACAGTGCGTAAGTCCTTGACTTGCGCAACAAATTATGGCGTGACTTGTGCAATCATTTTAGGTGGCGTGAGTTGTGGGGAAGCGCCTGAAAATGAAATATTTAACAAGCAAATCATAACCGTATCAAGGTTGATACAAGACACTCACAGCTTTGTGTTTGAGGTACATTAATTGCTATTTTACTTGTGACAGATTTTTTAAAGTTGTTGCACGATTCCAAAGAAAGTCGGACAATTTCATTTCTCAAAATGGCGGTCAGAGGGGATTCAACGACTGTTTCATGACCGAACAAAATCATACACAAAAAGCCGTTGACAATGCTGTTATTGTCCTCGTCCAAGACGTTTCGATTACAGTATTAAAACGTTGCACAGCTACACCAAGTTTCGTGAAATCGATCATAATTTTATTGTGTAGCTGCGCAACGAATCTGTTGCGTAAGTACTACGCATGGCATTAGTTAAGCACTTGTGTCGTGAAATCGTCTGCTGGACTTTAGGCAGTACATTAAAAGAAGTTTAGACCGACAAGTTGTTATAAAAAAAACATTTGTATCCCAGAGTTGTGACAAAGAAGTTTCAACGAAGTCAAAGATGGACGGTTTTAGTCTATTAGAAAACTCTGAAGCAAACTGATTTCAGATTTGAGCCGAACCTAAAGCATGAGCACACACTCTTGTTTTACTATACTCTCGAGGACAATGCTTTGTGTTTTCCTTTGTCCCTGATATATAACCCTCTCCAGTAGACTAAGCACACAAACTTACTACAGAGGACTGTTTCCAACAAAAGACCCAACTCCTGAGGACTGAAAGGATTTGTTGTTCTCCCTTTGAGTGTCGGTCCTCGGGGGTTATGTAGAACACGTACACATAGCTCTACGGAAGAATGACCTCACAAAATTTGATAAGCATTGCCCTTTCAATCAAAATTTAAGGCACGGTGTTTGCCTGTCTGAAACAAAAGTACATGTATGTACTTCTGGAAATGAAAAGCTGTTTCGTGTGGCTTCCACAACACCTGGTTCTGATGTGGACTTCTGTTGATGGACTTCATTGATCTAAGCGGATGTTGACGGAACGAGGCGTGGATCAACAAGATCCTGCAGCTGCAAGCACACCTGCAACAAATGAATATTGATTATTAATTAAAATATCAATTTTCAAATGTTGATTATTAATTATTGTCAATTTTTCTTCAATTGACAACTTTTCCATCTCAATCTACAGTTTTGAAATGACCCTTTGACTGGTATACAAGTCCAAAAAAAGGTCCCATACGTAACACCAGGTTTTCTTTCAGTACGTAATCATTGCAAAGACTAATAACACAAAAATTATTGTGGGTTTTCTCCTTGCAGATACCCAACGACAGAGTTTAAAAAAAACCACTGAAATCCGTTAATATCTTAGGGAGTTAAACATATGTATGGGACACAGGGTGCGCAAATTCTTTGACTTGTCCTTAAGAGTGTTCCTTTTATGAGGTTTTCCATTTAAGGGTCTTATTTCCAAACCTCCTGTTTTTTGAGATGGAAAAGTTTGAAATTTCTTGCTCGAAATCCTAAAAGTAATAGTGATGTATGGTCATAGCCTACTTATTTAACTTTATTTCCGCAAAATAGTTACAATTTTTGTTTATAATACCTTGATGCATGTTATCTACATGTAGATGAATACCCTACAATGTGCTTTTTTTTAACTTTTGCAGCACTCAACTACACTCTCTCTTGTTATACCATGGTTGTGAATTTCATTGGTTGAATGAGAACTGTTCAAATAATTTTGTCCCTGCTGCTTTGTACAACACAGGTACATGTAGAACAGACCCTGCACACAAGGTACATGTACATGTAGGTAGGGCATGCAGGTGGCAACGCAAAGACTCAATCAAATTATAAAAACCTAACACAGTTGAACAATCAATTGTCTGCTGTGAAAGGCCAATAGTCTATAGGTTTGTGTATACTCTGGGGTAAATGGCACCCCATGCTTGTGCCACCATTGCACCCCTCGGGTGTACCAATCACCACAGACTACATCAAAGCAGACAATATTGTACATGTATATTAATATACGTCACATGACACATGAACCGTCCCCAACCAATGAAATTTCACGATTTAAATATCATGGTTTATACAACACCTGAATAAATCCCTGTCGTCTAACTGGTTGGTTGTTGATCATGTGCCATTGAATTATTCATCCCAACTCACGGCCTGGTGGAACCGCAAAAACAAAAGTTCCATTACATGTTCAATACAATTACACGGTCACACTAACAACCAATCAGATGATGAGGATTTATTGAGGTATTTTATGAAACAAATAATGAATGGTTCACATTCATGCAACGGAAGAATAATTTCTTCAATGACACATAGAATGCTCCATTCTACTTGACTGTGCCTCAATGGAACATTCCATCTGTCACCTCATTAAAATGATTGTCAGCTGTCACCAAATTATTCTTACCATTGCACTCATAAACATTCATTACTTGTATGGTATTTCAGGGGTATCCCTACTGCTCGTTATCCATTGCATTCTTTCTTACCGTTAAATGTTGGTCAATCTTGTCACTGCAGACAGCCTCGGAGTCTTCCTCATCCTCCCACTGCAGGTCAAATTTCCCTTGTTTGGAAGGTTTGGTTACCATGGCAACTGACGGCAGTTCAACCTCCACCTTGCCACTTGGCACATCAACGCTCAAAACTGTGGCCTCCTGCGATTTAATCAGACAACACCCACTATATTAAAATGTCAGTAAACATATAGACCATGTGGCATTTGTTTTATTGGATGTTGTGGTCGTGTGATGTTAAGTATATCTCCTGAAATATGAATGGTTTAAAAGTGTTTTAAAAGTGTTTTAAAAATAAGGGAATAAATGTGTGCTTGGGAGGTGTTAAACACTATGTTTAAGACTGGTTGGAGTCTGGAATGCTGATAATTACCCAAGGGCGAAGCCGAGGGTAAATACCTTTTCGGTCCAAAAGTCAAAAATTTAAAATTTCTAACAATTTGGTTCAACAATTTTACTTTCTGTTTTTCGAATCACCACTCTAGCTATATAATGGAGTGTCCAGCTCATGAGTAAGACTTAAAAACTCCTCTAATGGAGATTGTCACACGCGTCGTGCGTACTGCATGATGACGCGCAGATGCAGCTCTGGTGAGTGTGTTGTGAATTTATAAAGGACTATGAAATACTGACTCACTGGTAGTATTGCGCATGTATCCTACGTGAGGATTGTGAACGTTCAACCAATAAAATGGTCAAATGCACTGGATTGCATAGGAGTCCAAATTTCATGTGACACTGGCGAGGTGTTTTAAGACCAGTCAGCCATGTCTTTATTATCCGTTTAAGACCGGCCACATGAAAGGCTCTCGACAATTGGGAATGGGTAATATGAATAGGTTTCTGAAATATGAATATGGGTTTATGAATATACTGTTTAATGTGGGCCAAATAAATGTCTTTTGTTGCTCAGCTGTTGCCTGTCGGCATGACATCACAGAGTACATGCCTCTGCTCTAGATAGTTTTTCTCAGAAAATTGGGCTGATGCTGAACAAATAAAAATCATAAGAAATATTTAACTTAGAATTTTGCCATTTCTTTTTAGCAATCTTCTATTCTGTAAAGTAAAGACCCCATGACACATGTTGCAACATTTATCAATGTTATCTTTTCACACTTCACATAAGAAACTTTTTTTCTGTGAAATGCTCAGATTTGTTGCATTGCCATGAATATATGAATATTAAATTTGAAAGTGTTGTATTTGAGTCCATCACCAGGCCTTTCAAGTCAAGTCACAAGCTATTCAAACGAAGTGTAAGACATTCCTTTCTTTTATCCCGTCACTTGTGACCAGATTTATAAATGGACTTGTGATGGACAACACTGCAATTTGCATTAATAGACACCTTCATGAAAAATGAAAGGGGTTGAAGTTAAAGTTAAAAAATCATAGTAAAGCCAAAAAAAATAATAAGTCGGTCTCTGGTCAGCGCGCGCGTCTATTTTAATCATGCGCGTCAATCTTTTTTTTCTCCAAAATGTTCCGCGGTAGCCCCAACAGCGCCCTCTATTTCCGCACCTCAATTTTTTTTACCAAAGAGCACCAAGGAATGGGAAATTGCACCAAGGCAAATGATCGAAAGCACCAAGGCAAATTATGGAGGACACCAATGTACATGAGGACACCAAAAAAAAAAAAAAAGCCGCGTGGCCGCGTCAATTCCGGAACTTTGGTCTGACCAGAGACCGAATATTTTTTTTGGGGGGGGCCTAATCTTAGATAGAAACAAAAATGTAGTAAGCAGCTCAAGAAAAGAAAGTTGTTCCGTAAAATCAGCCTGCCTTCTTTTAGAGTTCCAAACTAAAGTATACCAAATATTACAATTAAGTTTGATGTGTGAACAACTAGTATCTACATGTGAAGGAGCAACTGTTGAAGTGAACTGAAATTACTCTAAGAGAGGCCCGAAAAAGGGGATTAGTGCATAGAGGTTGTCTCTCTGAAACCAAATTTTTGGTTAACTTGATCTGTTGATTCGCTCCAAGTACATTTTGGTTTGGGAAGGCATGTTATTGGTCAATAAGTTGTACTCATAATCATATTTAAAAACTGGCAGATTTGGTTCAACAAAATTTTGCTCTTTCTTTAGACTTTTTTTTTTTTAAATAAGGCCAACGACTCACCTTGAAGTCTGATAACTCTGGGCAGTAAGATTCAGATAACTCCAGGATCTACCAAGGAAGACAGGAACAGAAACCACAAATGGTTTGTAAAGCATTAATACGTATCTTCAATCTTACTGAAAAATTTTCAACAATGTTGAGGCCAGCAAGGAGTTTTGGTTATTCAAGAAATCAATCTTTGTGTTGGTTATTAGGTTCCATTTTCCGTTTGATTAATTGAAAACTGAACCAAATAGCGAAAATGATGGCTTCCCTTTCAAAAGATGCGAGAGAATGCATAAAAAAATTAGTGAAATGGTAACCAACTCGTGGATGTCAAATACAGGCAGTTAGTTTTATACAATCACCATCTGACAATGCTCTAAACAATCTCTACATTTGTCTAACTTGTACTGTGCCCCAGACAAAAAAGAAAAGGAAATTGAAGGAACCACATGTGGCAAGGGTTTACATCTCTTTAACCCTTACTCCTTAGGCATTTTCCTAGGACGCAACCTCAATCCTGCAAAATCCTCCAACTGCCTCAATCCTGCAAAATCTTCCGTTATTTTTTGAATGTGGTTTTTTGAAGGGCGACCACTGCCTCAATCCTGCAAAAGCAATCACTGTCAGTATGTTGAGGCAGAGCCAGTGACATCCTGGAGCAGTGCGGAGGATTTCAAGTATAATCTAGGCCTAAATTTTTGCACAGCTGAGCATAAACAACACCAGGCCCGGCCCAAGACCTTGACACAGTGCATCCTCCAATATTGGGAAGGTTATAGGGTTATATAAAAATGGATTTACATGTACCTTGTAAGCAATGACGTCACCTTGTCTAGGAGGACCAACCAGTGAAGGGAAGGAGGTGAAGTCCTTAGGTGGAGGTGCAGGTTCTGCTGGGCTATTCTAAAAAGGAAAACATTTGGCAATGAAAATCAGGCTCTAAAAGGCTGTAAAAAGGGAAAGAAATAGTTCTTCAAAAACATAAATACACAAGAAATAAAGATTTTATGGAATTTATCAAGACTTGCGAATAAGCGTATGGAATATCAGCAACAAATAAATATATCAGCAACAAGAAAATGTTTTCTGAAAGTAACATTGTAATCGAGGTAATTGTGATGGATCACAAGTCCATCACAAGTTCGGTCATAAGTAAATCACAAGTCTAATGTTGCATCCTGACGCCACCTTTTTAATCATATATTAACTCAACGAAGGTCAGTCATTGCAAAAATGTTGAAAAGACATGAATCTGGGACTGAGAAACATTTTCACTTTTGTTAAAAAATACTTTGAAACTGCATGCAACTCTCCATAGACTTTGTACACAACCAAAGAAGTGGTGTCTGGATACTACATTCTTTCCGTCAATTCACAAGTCCAGTCACAAGTAACGGTGGATGAACAATACATGTAGTTTGTGTGTTGACTGGATGATTTGTGGTCCATCACTAGTACCTAAACTACCTCATGTACCTGAATGATGACCGACTTGTTGCTCTGGACTGCTGCAAATTGGCTCTTCTTGTCCCAGTTCCCCCTGTTCCCTATAGCAAATCCCCTCCCTCTGGCACCGAATGCTCCTCTTGGAGAAGGACTGCTGTTCCTTTGAAACTGTCCCTTATTGGTGACTTGACCAGAGGGCGGAGGTTGTACTTCCAGAATGTCTCTTTCTGAAGGAGCAGGCACTGATCCCTCTGTAGTTCTATACTCAGTCAACGGCTGGTCAGAAGCAGTTGGCGATTTCTCTACAGAGTTCTCTGAAACTATTTCCGAGTTTATTTGCTCTTTATTCTTTACCTTCTTGGCAGGCTCTTCAATGACTTGATCCAGGTTTTCAGAGGATGAGTTAGAATCCGACTCTGATGCTGAATCAAAACGAATATGACCCACTGAGAGGCAAACTGGTGTCAATTTATTTTTTCTCGGACCATTTAGCATTTTTCTTCCATCACTAGAACTTTGGTCAGCGGTTGCCTCAACTATCCCATCCTGGCTTCCACCAGAAGTGACAGCATCTGTGAGTTTAGGTGTTGACCCATTTGATACCACACCAGACAATTTTGCAACCTTACCCTGCTTTTCACTGCCTTTGTCAACAAAATTCCTCGTCTCCGAGGCAGATTCATGTTTCTTGGATGAGTTTGAACCCTCACTCGACCTCTCACCTAGTTTTGCTTTTTTGAGATTGTCATGATTTCTCTCAGTCCCCGCTTTACTTCTCTTTTTTTCTTTCCTTTTGCTTTTTGATGTTGTAGTAGGTGAATCTTGTTTTGATGGCTTTTTACCCGGTTTCTTTTGATGATCTTGACTGCTACCTGTCTTTGATTTCAAAGTTGTGTTGGTTTTATCAACATCATCTGAAGCATCACAGTGCTGCAGTGTGGGTTTGAGACTCTCGTCAGAATAATCAACCCTTTGTTCTTTGTCAAAATCCTTTGTCTTTTCATTTGATAGTTTTTTCTTGTGTCGCAGTTTTTGTCTCTTGGTCTGAACCCTGATACCATCTGCACCCACTGTCTCCTGGTCAAGATTGTTGTCAAACTTGCAACTTTTTTGTTTTCTGTGGCTATTTTCTGGGCTTCTAGAAGAAGACTTCCTCTTCTTAGTTTTACTCTTTGATCTCTTCTTTTGTTGCCTTTCTGGAGTGGACAAAATCTCTTCATTGGCATTCGGTTCACTGGGTGGTGTTGGTGATGCATCAAGTCTCTGCAGCAGATGATCTTCAATTTCAGTAAGTTTAACCCTGTTAAATAATAATAAAAAAATCTTAAAGTCTTGTTGATAATTTGAAATGTTTGAGTTGTCAGAGGAGTAAAATCATATGTACATCAGGATCCTGTTCCTGTAAGAAAACAGAAATCCACAGTTTTGTATTGGGACTACTCACAAAGACAAGCTTGCGTTGTTGAAAAAGCAATGATCACGTTGTGGAAAGAGGACAGGGTTTTGATTTTTGAGAGAACTTATGGGGTAAAATGATGATGATTAGACAAACAAAACTTGGATATTAGGTTAGCGATTACAGCTCATACATGATATACAGTAGGTGCTGAAAATTGGGTTTGAGTTGCATGGCCACAAGTGCCAAAACGGGTAAGAGCATATTTTATGTCAAATCTGTTGAAAATATTAAAACCATCGTTAGGGCAGCCGTAATGCAATTTTCAAGTGCTAACATTACGGAACTGTCTGGTTCCCTGACCTAATAGTATTCAAAGTCAGGACCTTTGACTGTTGGAACCTGACTATCGTTCAACCGAATGATTCTCGGCCTTAATTTCCCTTTTTTTAAATCCTCTATCTTAAATTAAAAAAACGATTTGATTAAAAACATGAAAGTAAAGAAACTATTATGTTAAAAAAAAAATTAAGAAAAACATTTGAGCAGCGCTGCAGCAGTTCTGAACCCAGATTCCCGGCACAGTAGTCGAACATGTATTGTTGATGTGCCCTAACGTGGCGCGGCCCCCAGCGTGGCGCACTTTGATTTTTTGCCTGTATCGCCTACCTAGAGCAAAATTTTTAACTGAAATTTCACAGAAAGTGAAATTTCATCAAGTTCTAAACACTCCTGTTCATAAATCGCGAGTTTATTTACCTGTAACAAAGTTAGAAGAAAAATTTATTTTAAGTGCAAAGTGAACCCTTTGAAAATGCCCCGAGAAATAAGAAAACAATTTTCTGACAAACATGTGGCTGGGTATGTAAGTAGAGATAATATATTTTTTATCAGAATTTATCAAGTTTACAGAAATTCTTAAATGATAATTTGGAATTTTCCGAGATTTATTCAAGTGCGCCATGTTAGGGAACACTCCGCCAATTTGTGCCCAATTTCCGGACGCCACTGTTTTTGAATTTCGGATTGAATTTTATCAAACCGAAATTGTTCAGAGAGGTTAAATAGCAAGCATTAATAAGGTAAAAGTACTAGTATTTTACTGCATGAATTTCAGGTTTGTCAACAAAGAGGTTTGGAAACACTACACGAAGAAAGTTGGTAAGCTTCGAAGTGCGCCACGTTAGGGAACACGACTATCGATCGAGCTACCAAAGCGTTCTGGTTGGATCATTGGACGGGTAACAATGTGTATAGATTCGCAATGCTGATTTTGCAAAACCATTATTGATAGCAATTGAAAATTGCACTACGGCTGCCGTAACGATAGCCACTACATAAAATTAAAGTAAAAGTGCTTTAGAAAAATTACGCATTCATTCATTTAGGCCTATCATTTGATTAGGCCTGTTCTTGTAGGCCTAGTTGTTTATTTTATTTTGGGTATGTAAAATCACCTCAGTGATTTAAATCACTGCAACTAAATTTAAACAATTGAATTGAACTACTTTTCAAACACACTAATAAGCATTGAAATTTTCAATTAAATAAAACTTCTCACCATAGCGTGTCGTTATCTCGAATCACGTGAATTTTCTCCATTGATGGGAGCAGAAAATCATCAAGGTACAAATGGATATTCAAGCCCCGATCGAGCTGGAATCGTTCTCTTATCAAGTACTCTAAATCGGCAACGATATTGCAGTTGTCTAAATTCACCAAGAACCAGCATTTTCTCGGTGATAACTGCGTACAAACATTCCCATCAAAATGAAGCCGCAGTCTCATGGAGGCCGCCATCTTGAATTTGTTTGACCGATGAGGGCGTGCTTGTTTATCGGTCATTTAATTTCGGGATGTAGCACGGTTCTTTATGTCTATGGAATGATACTATTGATAGCTATACTTTGACTGTAGGTGATTAATAAGCCAGCTTTACCTGCCTGCTTTTGTCCCTTGACTGAATTTGACTAGTCAAAGTGCTTGCTTGAAATATTGATCTGACTGTTGGTGACTAGCCTGTGTAAAAGGCATGGCATGGGAAGTGGATTGATTTTTTGACTCTCTGTGACTGTTCAGACAGCAGGAGGGTTATTCATACGTCTGCAGCATATGTACCTACATGTAATAATTACCGGTAGATGATCTATTCCAAACTATTGTTTATTTGACTCCAGGGTTGAAGTGGACACATTGTGGACCATTGACAAACTACGAGTACGATCACCCTCAGCATACACTTTACATTGCCAAGACTGGTAGGAGCTCAGATGGTTGACTGACTGAGACTTGAAGACACCTACATTATTTGAGTCGGTCTAGTACTTCCAGCAGAGACATGGATGACTCCTTACTTGCGACAATTCATGCACAGTTTCTGTCAATGATGTCAGTCAGGAATTTTGTGTGGATGGTAAGACGAGCAGCTTCCAAATTGGGCCAAGTAAAAAACAAACAGCTTCTCATTTTGGTTTTTTTTAATAAAATGAAGGAGGCAGCCCCCTTTTTTCCCCAAGATAGCATGTTTCCAAGATGGCGGATGGATTCTTCCATTTTCTCAACTCTTTTGCTGATACAACATTGTGTCCAAAAAGTAGCCCTCACCCTTTCTATACATAGCTACAATGTTGTTAGAAACAAATAAAAAATACAAAATATATTGCAAATGTAATAAAAAAAAAAACACACCAAAATGATACATTATGTACATTGAAATCAAACTAAAATCCTTTTGGTATCAACCAATAATACATGTAGAATGAAACTTTAGTTGTTGACATTTAGTGGTATGCGCTTTTGCATTTTGCATTGTAGAATACAGACCGAAGAGGTTTGTACAAGTGTGTATAAGAAAAAAACGCAAACAAAATGCAACAGAATGCCAGACGTAGAATGTGTAACCAACATGGTTTGAAAGATAAGCCTTTCCACTTTAAAATGAGACATCAAAATGTCAAAATCTGATAATTTTTGACAGAGTTATGAGTAATTTTCCAAGAGAGGTCAAATTGACCATGGGACCAAGTTTTCAATTTTAGGCTTAGGGACAGAGGTATCCTAATAGCCTCCGTGTGGATTATTGCCTGGCCTACAAAAATGTGTTTAGCGAGTAAACATAATTCTAAACAATTTCTTGCTATCAGTTTGTAAACATGTTTACATGCTAAACATGTTAAGCATGAGGTGATAGCAAGAAAGTGTTTAGAATTGTGTTTACTCCATTTTCACATGGAGGCAGGTGGACGATTTTGCAGGATTGTGGTTGCATCCTAGCACAAATGCCTCTAGAGGTAGTTAGGGTTAATCCTTACTTTTATAACATGTTTGTATAGTGTGATTTTTCATATTTCAGGGTATTTTGTTTGTTGCAACAGGTTTCAGACCAGTTTGTGGTGGATGTCCTACAATGCGTGGAATCACAAATTCAAATACTCAAAGTGGTACGTATTGTATATAGATTTTTTTTTGCAGACTTTCAAGTTGAGTTGAAAGTTTGCATTAATAAATGTTTGATGTTTGACACGAGTTGTCAGAAAAGCAGTTGTGTTCGATAACCTTTGCATCACATAGATTGTGAAGATGCAAACTAAATGCACAAAGTCAAAGATTTCATATCCACTAGAGTATGAATATCGAATGTAGATGTTACATACGTGTAGTTGAAACATGTAAAACACTGTGATTGAATCAAATTCAACTCTTTTTTCCAATTGATCAACAGAAATCTTTTTAATTTTTATTATGATTATTTTATTACTTTATCCCAATAGACAGTGAAGTGTGATATCTGCAACAAGTACCCTCCTTCATTGTCATACCAACAGTCTTTTCTTAAGTCCCTCATACAAAAGGTAAGGATTTCAAAACAAAACAATTCTGGACTAATGTTCATAATATCAGGGTTTTTTTTCCTTGAAAGAAGACTTTTGTGTTTTTTTTATTCTCTACAACGTTCATACGTAGACTTTTTATGAAACGGATATTTGGCCACCACCCCGTTAAAAATCCCAGCATATAAAAAATGCAATATGTTAGGCTGCATCAGAATGACTTGGCTGCGGCTAGCAATTACACATACGCGGTTATGGAAGCGGCTGAAGCCACTTCACACAGACGCATAACGAACAGTAACAAAACGCTAACAGTTAGCCTTGGGCAAACAACTTTGTCCTAAACACTAAGTTCACAACAAAGGTTACAATATGGCTCTAGTTTCGCTGAACCCATTTGGTGTATTCCAAACCCTGTTCTCAAGTGACAAGCAAACAGTGTTTTAAGGTTGCCGATTACAAACGCCCAAATCGAGTGGAGTGCAGCTGGCCGCGCATTCAAGATGGTAGCCGCCATATTAAAACACCAAATGAAAAGAAGGGAAGACTATAACTATCTTTTGCTATAAAAATCGGCAAAGACAAACCCACTCTATATGATCATGCACAATGTTTATACTTTTTTAATATCACACTGATTTTTACTGCTCCTGCAGTGAATGGGTGTTTTCAATTTTTTTTCACAAAAATATTAATGCAGGGTTTGGTATCCGCCGTCTTTGTTCTTTCAATATTAGGTTTTGCCCTTCACCAATGTATAAACACTATACTCAGTGTGTAACCTCCCAAGTAAAAGTTACAAGAAATCACTCAGGTGGGACTCGAACCCACGACCTCCTGCTTTCTAGTGCAGTTGTCTTACCACTAGACCACCAAGCTTGCCAAGCTTTCCATCATATGAATAATTGAATAATCCTTGTCCTTGATGTTCTCCATCTGCCCCAACAAATGGGGAGTGAAAATTGTTCGTGTGTTGGTTCTCATCATTCGAAACCCAATTCTCGTGGTTCATTCAACATGCAAAAGTGGTTTTAAATATGCCCATTAGTTCCTATACCGCTCCCAACCACACTGCCTGTTGCTCTGTACTGCCAAAAACCTTACTTTTATTACAATATCAACATTCTTTTTTCTTTTTGAAAAAAATGACGATACATCTAACATACTCATCAATATAACTTTTGTAACAAATTTGCTTCGTAATTAAGACAGCCACTGACCTTTACGTTGTATGTTGTTTTTCAGTGTGAGGCGAGTGATAGTGAGCTTGCTGATGAGATATATGAGACGTACACTGCACTGCTCAGCACACCACAGCCAGAGATGCAAGACTGCTGCTACAGGACCTACATAGTGGTGAGATTGCAGTCCTAGCAATAATCAAGATTTCTGTATATTTCTGAAACAGAGCCCATTCATTAGAGACTGTTCAAAATTGGGTATAGGAGACAGTGTTGTAATGGAGTCCATCACAAGTCCCTGCGAGTCCATCAAAAATCCATCACAAGTCCTTCAGTCTCAAGTCAAGTCATTTAGCTATTGAAATGAACTGTTATAAAAGCAATCCTTTATCATTGTTCATCCTTTTACTTGTGAAAGGACTTGTAACAGGACTGCACTACAACACTGGATATGAAAAAAGTTGGTTCTGGAAAAAAAAGTTGCAGGTTACATCACACATTTTGACCCAACTCAACAAAATGAATCGCAACTCACTAGAGTTGCTTTTTACAAATATTACATGATGGAAATAAGTAACAGTTGACATTTCCACTTACATTTCAAACTGAGTATCTAAATAAAGAGCACAGTATGCCCTTTCCACTGCCTAGGAGTGTGCAAGAAAAAGTCTTAAAGACTCATTTGTTGGATCTGGGATTTCATCTGGCACTATGTTGGCAGTATGCATGTTATTTCAGAATGTCAAGATGTGGATCTGTGGGTGAAATATCCAGACAAAATGGTGGTGCAGTCAGAGTTGTAATTGAGTCAATCACACGTTTATCAAAAGTCAATGCACAAGTCCTGTATCACAAGATAACGGGTGACGAACGATATTGCCTCATTTGAATAGTGTGTGACTTGACTTGAGACTGGAAGACTTGTTGTTATGACTTCCGTTGACTTGTAACGGACTCGATTACAATCTTGAATAAAATCAGCATCACATTAGGAGCTGCATACATTTTCCCCAAATACATGTAAAATATCTCTTCCTGTGTATACAGTGTTTGTAACAAATAACGTCGGTGATGGGCAAAATCATATATTGCATCTTTCAGTGTTATACTTAGTCAATCACAAGTCCTCACAAATCCCCACAAGTTCATCCCCAGACAATCACAAGTCAACCAGTCCCAAGTTGAGTCACAAGGTAATCAACTGAACTGAGACAAACTCCTTGTGATGGACTTGGCTAATATTAAAGTTTGTACAGCATTTTGATTTTGGAAGTATTTTAAATTCTTGTTTTTGACGGTAAAGTCAGATGAGAGTTGTACAGTGACTCTGAAAGAATCGGTCAGCATGATATCCCTGGGTACCACGGGGCTCAATACCTGGCCTGCTGCCAGCTACTTGACAGAATGGGCCATGGAGAACCAGGACATATTCTCTGGGAGGTAAGTGGGGAGTTCCATGCCAAAATGCCTTGAGCTAGGAGGGGAAGTGACCGACTCATATTTGGATAATCTTAATAAGGCACAATTGCAGAATAGGTCGCCATTTATTTACCCACCTCGTAGTCGGCTAGGGAGTCACGGTTGATTGCCCGCAATAAACCTCAGTGCAACTAGCATGTACACGCATCATGCTCCATTGCACTCCCACTCCGTATACACGTAGCCATTCCAGGGGAACACTTTCGACTTGGTCTTTTTTTATAGTCCCCATTCAATTTACGCTGTTACTGATTTATTCAACTGTTTTGGCCATTTGGCTTCTTCAACTGTGTAGCAATTGATTTTGGGGGCTTATTTTTGAGTTGCGGTGTATTCTACAATTACTCCCATAATAGAAATAGCTCAGAAATTTAGATTCCTCTTCATTTACTTAATCGCCTTGCAATGGCAGTGGCAGGCACTGGCTGACATAAAACAAAATTACTTTTCCCTTAATTATGGACAAAAGCTGGGGAAAAAACATGGATCCTTGCCATTTTTCTTTTATACTTTTTTTTATGACTGACTGTGCCATTCTTATGGTTAAGTATATGTTTAGTATTTTTACATTTTCCTTTTGCATTTGTTCTGGAACGGCACGGTACATGTATATTAACTTTGTGCATGTAGATTGGTTCTGGAACTTTGTAGTATTTTTCCTCTTTGTATAGATCTGTTCTGGAACTTGGCAGTGGCATGGGGCTGACTGGTCTAGCCATCTGCAAAGTCTGCCAGCCAGCTTGCTATGTCTTCTCTGACTGCCATGACAGTGTACTGAGAGGTCTCAGAGACAATATTGACATTAATGTCCCAGGTTTGTCAAATTAAAGGCATGTAGAAACATTTTGTTATTGCCTGGAAACGTACCTACTGACAGGCCATAAACGTAGCAGCCATCTTAGAGGGCAATACCTTTGTTTTGCTTGGATATGCATGAGTGAACCATTTGGGACTTCATTGTTACTGAATTAAATTAAAAGATGCCCTTTAAGATGAGACTACGCATAAGGTCTGTTCATTGGGACAATTACCCACAGTCTTGGAAAAGCCTGGAAAATCCAGATTTTTAAGCTGTCGTGGAAACTCGTAATTTTGTATTGACAAGTTGATATTTTAAGTGAACCCCATACATGATGATGCGTTGTATTGGGTCGTGGCAGTCTTCCAGTTTGCATTCCAGTTTACTATGGGCTCTGTGCGCCAACGAAAGAGGGCGCCCTTTTACCTAGCAACGAGGTCCTATGGGCGGGACATTTAGCTGGTTGACTGGCACCGTTCCTTGTGTGTGACGCACGTACACCAGGGGATAAGTACACGCAGTAGTACGGCCGCGCGTCGCGGCAAAATTGCAGTCAGGCAAGATGGCGTCAGTCGGTCACCCCAACTGAATTTTCTTTGCCGGTGGGGGGGGGGGGGGGGGGGGGGGTGTGCTTGTGACTGGAGCGGATACTTCCTCTTTATGCATGCATGCTCTTTATTTGTTGCATGTTCAATGCACCATTGGGATGTTCTTGTAGTGCTCAGTGGTCTTGTGTCAAACTGGAAGGCTTGCCTGAGTTTTATAACTGGCCAGTTTATTGGAAAAATAAAATAGATTCCTAAGATGCCAAAAACAGCGTGGGAATTGGTCATGGAAAGGTCTAATTTTGTCCTGGAAAAATCAAGGAAACTCATGGAATTTCATATCTGTGGGAACCCTAATGAGAAAAAGCTTGCTCAAAGTGAGGCCGGGACTGCTACCAAATACCCCATGAAATGATTGCGCTTGAAATCGTTTTGATCTAAAGAAAACAATAATTGAATGAGGTTTTAAAAAAATGTTAGGAACTCGAATTTTAGTTTTGAGACCCCCAAAGTGTTCATACGTTTTCTCTGTTTTTTTTGTTGTTGAAAATTTGTAGTAGCAACTAAGCTAAAATGTCAACAGGTTTAAATAGTTGGTGTGCACTCTACACAAGATTGTGATGAGCAGTTTTGTTGCAAATCACACGGTTCCTACCAGCATTGTAACTAGTGTATATGTAAAACATGACTCTATTGTGATTTCAATTCAGATTGGGACTCGAGGGAAGAACCCAAGAAATTTCCTTCCGAAGGACTGGGTGCATCTGAAGAAGGAAAAGCAAAGGAAACAGTCATTGCTGTAGAATGTCTGGATTGGGAAGCGGTGCAAGATAAAGCAGTCCAGAGCTGGAACTCTGGAGTCATTCTAGCAGCAGGTATAGTGCACAAGTACCCCTTCAACTTGGACTCCAAAACATGGCGGTATTCACAGCCATGAGTTGGAAAAATGTCGAGACATTTGGTCTTTCACGTTTACATCCGCAACATTTTATGATCTGAAATAGAACGTGCTTGTAAAGTACTTTCATTATGAGGCTATCCCTGTATTGCCATTCGCACAGGACTTGTCATTCCTCAGATATAAGAGGAAAATTGGAGATCATACAAACATGAAAAATGTCTGCATCATGTTGAAACTTCTCAACGAGTGAGATCGGTGCAATCGGCTAAATCAAACACATAACCATCTCTGCCCGCACAGTTACCAAATTTACTCCTGGGTGGAGAGAAGCAATGAGTGACAAAATGCCTTGCCCAAGGGTACACGCACCATAGCTGCAGGCTGGACTCCAACCCACAACCTGCAGAATTACCTACAAGATCATGAGTTTATAATTTGTTCTAGGTTCACACATTCCCGAATTTGAAGCCAAATCACCGAGAATAGCAATTGTTGAGTAAATCGGGGAATGGTACTTGGCTGCCTAGGGATGATTCTGTTAGTTCGGTGAAAGATCGGGAAGCGCATTGACAATTTTGAACATGTTCAAAGTTTTCGGATATTCTTACAGCAATCTTGATGTTCTTACAGTATTCTTACAAGTTTCGTAGAGTTATTTTGGTGTTAACAGTCCAGAATCATGCCGAATCATTTCGAATGTTTCAAGAAATGTACGAATATTATAAAAATAACTTACGAATACACTAAATCGGCATAATTCTGGGTCATTCTGGAGGATTCTGGAGTTATTCGTATATTATTCTTGACAAAACTGCTACAATTTCATTTTTTTCTGCACTAAATCGCAATTATTCTGCATTATTCGATCTGATTCGGCTTCCAATTCGCACCTAGTACTTGATTATTTCTGTTTCATTTTTAAGTTGTTCTTACAAACAGCGAATCGGGGCTAATTTCTCCCAATGCCATCAAGAATTTTCATTTGGGATAGATCGGGGCATTTGTGGCAATCATTTGGGAATGTGTGAACCTAGCACTACACTTCAGTTATCAGTTTCCTCAAGATAACTCAAAACGATAATAAAGAGAACGATGAGGAGAAATTAAGCCTATTGATGTTTGGACCTCTTGGTCCAAACATCAATAGGCTTATTCTTCAGGTATCAAATTTGTATGTTGAGGCTTTAGTTTTGGAGTTGTACTTACACTGGAATTACTATGTATGAGCAGGGCCGTTGATTCAAACTGATGTTGGTAAAAAGCAGCAAGAAAAGTAGAAAACTAGAAATATTTGAAGTCTGTTTGCCCCCTATATTATATCTTTCATATGAACATGAGCAGCGTCATGATATTTATAATCAGTGACACAATGTACTCTCTTGTTAAAGCACATAGCATCATTTGCATTTATCCTAAAAGTAGCCTACAGAATTAAAAAAAGCTAATTACTCTGATTAAAGGTCGTACTGGTACTAAACACACTGTGAAATCATTCTATCTGGCTTGCTGTCATAAAAATAGAAGAAATCAAGAAATGTAGGTCCTTTCTAACGATTCCACAGATGTCTACTGTCAGTCACAGTTCCCCATGTTTTTATCGTAGTATAAATTGTGCGTTTCCCTCACAGATGTGGTGTATGACACCAGAATCATTGAGCCATTAGTCCACCTGCTGCACATGTTACTGCGATGTCAGGGGGACGGCCAGGGAAGACCTGTGGCAATTGTGGCATCCACTGTCAGAAATAAGGAGACATATGCTGCATTCCGGGAGGCTGTAGGTATGCACCGCTGAACAGTGTAATGTTGAACACTTGGGGATCACAGACACAGATCAGCAGCCGATTTCATGTAATTTGTTGCGTAGCTGTCATTGTTGTACTCAAGTACTTTTTGAGAATACTCGTACTCGCACTCGTACTTGCACTCCTACTCGAATGTCAAAATACTCGGACTTGAATTCATGGTACTCGTACTTGAGAAGTAAAGTACTTGGACTTGACTATTTGATATTGTACTCCATCATCAAAGTACTCTTCATTTCTAGTTATGGATATTTTATTAATGTAATGTAATTTTATTTTCAATTTCCAGGCCTAAAAAATAGTCATGGAATATTATGAGGACCAGTTTTAATTTCAAACTTTATATATTCATAAGTTATCTGATTTTATACTCGACAAAATGCGACAAATTTTGCTGATACAAGCATTTTGATTTTGGAAGACATTAGGCCCCTATTGCTTTGTTTTGTTGCTTTTCTGTTTCTGTTAAGCACTTTTATAACAAACAAATTTTACAGTTTTGATCCGCATTTTGATGAACTAGGTCATGGATTTTCATAATTTGGTCATGGAAAAGTCATGAAAAAAAGTCATGGATTTTTATTGTCCTGAAGGTGCAGGAGCCATGTTTATAGGATAAACAGAAATACTCAAATCAGACCTAAATACTCAAATCAACCCTTATGTTGTGTGGATTTGTATGGAACCAATTGGCCATGCATTTCGTACTGTCTTCAGATTCATCTAAAAATGTCAATTTTTATCATTGCAAATTAAGCTGCACAAAAAAAGGGAAAAGTTCTTATATACACAAAATCTGATTTCCAGTTGACTTTTTGGGAGTTCCTATACTTGTAAATTATCCAAAACAAACACACTATTATTATTTTGCAAATCATGAATCGTATTTTGTTGGTCGTTTACAGAGAGATGCAACATTTTGGTTGAAAAGATCCATGGTCCAAAACACAAGACATTACACTATGACCGAAGCTGTCCCATAGAGTTGCTGCATTTACATGTCAGCACGACACACACATAACAGGTAACTGCTATTTTTTTTTTTTTTTTAAATAAAATCTAATTGATATTAGGCATTTTTAAAAAGTACACTGTATATTTCGCAAGCCAATCTCCATATTTTAAAGGTAATATACAACATTTACTTTTGCTGTAATTTTCAGAAATGGATGGATTTGGGGATTAGTATTTTATAGCAGATATTGTTACACTGACCTGTTTAAGTTTTGTGTTAAAAAAATACTGTTCTTGTAGTCTGGTTCCCTGACCCTACTTCAGACAAAACACAGCATTTTATAGACGTCGGGGACTTGTCCGGTCAGGGAACCAGATTAGATGGCAAATCAGATTTGCAAACAAAATGTGGACTAACTAAATTTGGTCAATTGGGTGCAGTAATTGAAAAAAAGTCAGGGTTTTTTTCAACGATGGTCGGCCAACCATCGTTGGAAATTGGTGCAAAAATTCCACTTTTCTTGAAAATGACAGCACATCAGGTGCCATGATTTCACAGGATGCTTATGACTATTATTCACTTACAGTCAAGTGAGGTATTTCATAATAAGTTGGTAGTTTTGTTTTTTGATGTTTGCAAATGTTGTATTTTACCTATAAGTAAATCACACTGATGCCCATAGCTTCAGTCTGCATAGAATTGAGACCCAGACAAATATTGTTCTCTGGTATTTTTGTGTACCCTTTTATTTTGTCCATTTTACAATTTCATATGGAAAGTTCTCATGCATGGATGGCATGCAGAACACACAACTGATTATCAGTTGAAAACAGACAAACAAGTAGCATATCACACATGGAAAGCAAAATTAGTAGGTTTAGTATGCAAAAATCTTGTAAAAGGTATAGAGGATCATTTGCATTTATCCCGAAAGTAATCAACCGAATGACATGTACATGTATTATCAAAAAGCTTACTTGGATTAAAGATCATACTGGTACTAAAAATACTCCATCTGGCTTGATGTCATTTAGAAGAAATCAAGAAATATAGGTGATTTCCAACAATCAGTAAATTAAGTGATTTTTGGAATAAAGAGTGCTATGGACAATATCGTTTTTTTTTTATTGTGATCAAACGGCTGTGTGTGGAGGCTGTTTTCTCAAAAAGTGTAATATTCACAAGCGCCGGCCACCACAAGCAAATGTCTCTTTATGGGCCAATAAAAACTGGAGAAGGCGCGTTGATTGCCATGTGTTATGCAGCAATCACAAAGGTAGTGAGAAATTGGCAAAATCATGCTCACTTTAACACTGTACCCTGTGCACGCAGTTGATCGTTACTAAATTCTTCCTGCAAGCTGTGCTTACACGTACATGTAGGTTTTTTTGGTGTGAATATTTAAATGTGGATTTGATTGAATATTCAATTACTCGAAACACACCAATCAAATTGAAAGTGTGTCGGCCTAAATTGCATTCCCTTGCCGGGAATTATATTATGCATCTCTGCTCAGGATAGAAAAATGACAATGAGCTTAATAGAATATTAAGAACATCATGTAAATATCATGTTGCTTTTTGATGTGTGTGACCAGCAGATTTTTGTGGTCTCCCTCAACTCTCCATTTCTTACCGTTAAGGGGGTACTTGTGCAAAGAGCTCATATTCGTACAACCCTATCTGACAGAACTCAAGCCCACAATCATTGCTACTTAATACTATATCGGATTTTGTCTTTGAAATTCCAGTGTTTTAAGGACGGTATTGTCAAACTCAAGATGCAAAGATCTGAAGCCCTGCACCAGTTGCCCCAGCTCATGCAGTGCTGACATTGGGGAGGGCTGTACATGTACAGAACATGCTGTAGTTCTGTGCACCAGAAGTCATCAGGTAAAAAAGAAATCAATTTGAAAATTCTATTTCAAAAGACATAGACTGGAAGTACTCAGTCTGTAGAGTACCAAAAGATGTCCTCAGTTGATCATGAGGAAGGCACGATCATGTACCATTTACGTGGCCACACACTTTGCTTGGGAATGTACCTTCCATGTATGTGGAACTCTCTAACTCAACAATACCTTGGTAAAGATGTCAAAATTACCTGTCAAAAATTACGAAAAATGCGCCATTTTTTCCGGTAGAGATCTCATTCAAAAGTGAATAACTTTTGTCATTGCTGAATGAAACTTTTTATTTTTTATTTTTCACAGTGAAACTTGAAAATAGCTGTAATGTTGCTTAGTTGTCCCTTATTTTCCACCTCTTAATAATAATGCAGCCAATCTATAGAAATAATGCGGTTACTGTTTTGAATGGAAAATCAGCTTTGAAGCAAGTGCTTTTTGTATTTTCTTTTACTTTCATGGGCCATGGTGCAACCAGTGTACAAGCCGTTGGTGTGGGTTGTCAGAGATTCCGTTGTGCAGTGGACCTGCTGGGTTGCAGCCTCATCAGCTGGGGAAATGCTGTACGACGTGGTGAATGTCCGTTGGCTGGGGAAGCGGGGCCTACACCTGACCGAGCTCAATGACTGTTTGCATCACTGCTGGGAGTCCCAACAATCCAACCGGGACTACATTATAATCAATGTTGGTACCAACTATCTGGGGATTCCCCCAAAACAGCAATCTTGGAGGCAAACAAATGTGTGCTGACCGTCTCGCGGCCTTATTGCCCAAAACTATGACGTTTTGGTCGGTCATTTTGCCGCCCGCCAACTACTACCTTGGCGCACACCGCCAGAACAAGGTCGAGCGTGCCCAATGGGCCATCAATCATTGGGTAGAAAACTTAATAAATAAATTGCCATTTTTTAGAAAGTACAAAATGACATTTTTTCGGTCCGACCCAGAATTCTTCCACTTTTGTCCATTATCTTAATTATCACCCATCCTTCAGATCAATGAAACACACAAAAAAGAAAGATTGTGACACTCCAATTTCTTCAAAGGCATCAGAAAGAGAAGAAACTTCTCTTTTTATTAGGCAATTCTCGTTAAACTAGTTAAGCCAAAAAGTAATGACAAAACTTCACTTTCATCCATTGAATTAAATAAACATTTAAATTAATGTTACAAATGTCATATTTACAACTTCGCCAGAGTTCTTACAATTACTTATGATAAAAGACAGTTTAACTTCTACACAATGGTAATTGGTCGATTGGTATTTGTATTCAAAGAAGAAGCACAACCTACTTTTAATCCACTTCATAATCGAGGTTGGTTTTACTTAAATCCGGTTGAATATTATCAACCAAAGTGAAATAACCCTGTGAAGTTAATGCAGTGACAGAAATTCAGAAGTTAGTTTGTATGTGTCATTTCAAACTTTCAAATGTTAAAAAAAAAGATAAAAATCTGTTTGTACCTTTTCCAAAATGTTTAACTGAGGGACCTTGTTTTTGTGCCGTCTACTATTAAAAGTTGACAAACTCGTATTGGTTCATAATAAGGCTGTTACTCACTGAAGGTTGAAATGTTTATCCCTTTTAACACTTAACACTTTAGTACATGTAATGCACACTATACTTAAATAATAAACCACTCCTTTAGACTGTATGTAATTTATGAATGTTGAAATGTTTAACCCTTTAGTTACTGTGAAAATAATTGGTTTCACAGATAATAAAACCATTTTCCTTTTCAGGCCCCTTTAACATGTAGAATAGTATCATTAGAAACTGAGAAAGAGAAAGGGCCATGTGGAAAGCACCAGTCCATTTTACATGCACCATTCCACTTTCTGTGCTTTTTAAAGGGGGGGGGGGGGGGGCTCAAAAGGGGCTAGAAAAAATGCAGCAAATTATATTGAACAATTGCTTTAAAAGAAGCAAGCACACACACTAAGCTTACATTACAAAGAAAACTGCACCAAGTTAGCACAAGGTTGTGGGTTCAGATCCCACCTGAGTAAGATTGGGAACTTATTTTTTCTCCCAAGCTCTGAGATGGCACCGAGTATGCAGTGCTAATACATAATATACAACAGAATTATCACTGCTGTTGAAGGGGGGGGGGGGGAGAGCAGAAAAAACTAAGTTCTGTGCGCATTTTCACAGCCATAGTTTGACCAATGGCTGAACTATAGATGGCTGCCACGGTAAAACAAAATCAAAAATTCAATTCACAAAAAGTTGTCAAAATATCCAACATTATTTAACAATGGAAAAACAAAACTACAAAAACTAGATGACAACAGTTCCCTCTAAAACATGTCATTTTGGCCAAAACTCGTTGCCAACCACTTTTGACACGATGCTTGTATTATCCTCTTTATTTAAAGAAATCTAGATTCTCTACCTGTTCACCATGTACACATATTCTTTCTTAAATTGTCTTTTAAAGTTGAACAAAGAAAATTGACTGGAGTGGGGTTCGAACCTGCCACCTTTGGATTGCTGTTCAGGTGCTCTACTACCAAGCTATCCAGCCCTATGTTAGTGGTTCCCTATTTTGTCAATATCGTCATTTACTGGCATCGTGACTTTGGGCATGATCCTTGGCATACAGGGTATATGGCTTCTGACTAGCGCCCCTTGAACAAAGGTATTGACATAGGGCTGGATAGCTCAGTTGGTAGGTACAGTAATATGGAGGTCGCTGCTTCAAACACTGCTCAAGTCAATTTCTTTGTTAGAGTTGTAAATTTCCTTTGTTCTTGTTTCTTTATTTCTATTGTATAATGTAAAATATCTTACAGTAAGGTTTTGAATTTTGATCCTAGTGAAGCACCTTGTAAGCCTATTATTATATGAGTTTTTTTTTCATGCTTATTCAGGCTTTGGTTATAATTTTTATCAAATATAATGGGATTTTCCATTAATATTCGTATGAACAGTCAATAAATATATTACTTTAATAATAAATACCAACCCGATTGAACACCAGTTCTGGTTTTAATTATAAATAAATATCTATGTACAATTCGTATTTATACATTTATATGTACAGTTATAAAATCTCTTCTTTTCTGTACAAATGTTTGCGTTGTTTTGTACACACACACACAAACTGATAGAAAAAAAACCTAGCACACAATCAAAGCCCTTTTCATTAGGGAAAAGGGAATGAATAATAAGAAATGCTCCTGATACTTACTACATGTATATTAATACACAAGGAATGCATGTAAGTTCAACCATTATTATATTACATCTATGTCAGATTTCCCAAACTGCTCATCATAATCTCAATTTCCACTCTCTCGTGGTACACTGCAGCAGAGTAATTTCCCAAAAGAACCATCAAATGAACACTAGAGAATATGACCATGTAGCCTTGTACTGCAGTGAGAAATGGAGACGGGGGCTATTCCTTTGTAATTCATGCAGGACGTTGGCCTCATATAAAGGCCGTTTCATACTTTAGGATAATTATTAGAATATATTTAAGCAAACAAGGAGAAAGGTGTTTGCCACTGCAAGCAGCCCACACACAACAGCCTAAACCACCCCAAAGATAAGATATAGCAGAATTAGAAAAGAAAATTGAAAGCTCTGCATCAGAACCGGTAGGAAAATGTATCCAATGAGTGGCTTTAGCAGCAAAGCTCACCAATTGACCTATCGCCATTTGCGGGTTAGCCACGCTCCTTAGACAACCCTATGGAGTTTTTGTACACTAAGTTTTGTTTGTCTCAGATGTTGCGCGTTCCTCATCCATTTGTATAACCTCATAATTGGACAATATTTCACAAACTGCGTTGACGCGATTCTATCGTGGTATGTCAATTGATACATGTGCAACACCATATTGAATGTTTGCAACTGCATTTAGCATTACATGTAGGTATAAACTTGCCCTAAAGATGTTAACAATTATCAAATAGAAAAAACTATCAGACAGAAATTCACATCCCTAAATTTGGTGGCATTGCGTGATCAGGAAAGGTTACTCCAGCCCTTGGAATGTGGTCATCTTTATTTTGATGAGTACACTAAATAGAAGTTGTATTCATACAAATACAATAATATTTAAACAATGCAATTTAACAGTTAATTTACATCATGTTTTGAGTTAGGAACGGCCAACTTCTATTAGCACACACACAAACGATATCTGATCTATGAATTATGAAAGCTCAGTTATAAAAGAAAGCTGCTTCTGCTGAATATGCTCTCACAGCACCATCCAGTCATAGTCCTTAGAGGCACTGCCACTGTCTTCTTTTAGCACACGTACACAAACTGAATGAGCAAATGTTTACACTAATTACAAAGCTGAAATTTCAAAGATATTTTGAGGCAAAACAAAGTTGCCCGATGAGTAGTATTCTATAGATAAATTACAAATTAGCATTAAAAAAACAAAGCCATTTCAGTGCAAGGCCTTTGAGGAACACTAAAGTCGCATTACCTATGCTCTTCAACAAATTCAAAAATGTTGTTGTATTCCAACCAAAAACCCCTCCTTTTTCCTTTATTTTTCTCGATGTCTGCAAAACTTTGTTCTGAGTACAAACAGATCTGCTTTGCAAGCAGACTAGCTCCCGGTTCGTACATTATTTGTACTGATTGTGGGGCGGGAACCAGCCTACCTGGCTAGAACAGAATTATTGTCTGGCAGCCAATAATTCAAAATTGTAAAGTAATAATTCAATAACTAAACATAGGCCAATTTTTTCAGTCGATGTCTCATTCAAAAGAAAATAACTTTTGTATTGCTAGAAAAATAGCAATTTTGAAAAGGAATCTATTTTTCGGGATGAAACTCAAAAATAGCACGGAGAATGCAACTTTAAGGACATAATTTTCCCAAATCCTTTCATGTCGCAAGTGGACCTTGGCCCTTGATTTTGAAGCTAATTTGAAATCTGTCTATTCTCGATTTGAAATACATTAGGCAAGTTTGATCAAGAAATATGGTTAATCACAATTCCACCAAAATATAGTCAACCACAGCAAGACTAATTTTCTTGACATTTTGGAACCAGCGCATGGAGGTTGGTTGCATCACTGGTTACCGATGGCTGCATGCAATGCAATGTACAGCAGGGAGCCAGGCCCAAGAGGTATTGCAATGGTATTTGATTGTGTCTGGACTACTGATGTTCACATACCAGCAGATGTGAGCTATTAAAACACCTGTTATCAGACTGGCGTCCCAGAGTCGTGAACCAAATTACACTAAGGGCCCGTCTCAATTCCGGACAAGTTGAGGGTAGAATCATTCACTTGCCCAGAAGAAGCTCTGCATTTGTCCCGGACGTGCTTCGGGGAAATGTTCATTAGCGATTCCTTGCCTCGCCAATACTGATAACATCATTGTAGGAAGATTGCAGGGGAAGTTGTTCTGAATCCTGCAACTTATACCTGATGCAATGTCCAGGACATGTCCGGAACTCATTCCAGATATGAACTGAGACAAGCCCTGAGAGAGACTCAAGTTGACCAAAGCAGATTTTGGTTTGTGACAAGTGAATGTTATGTATTCAATTTTTTCTGGTCTGAGAGGGTCAGCCCACCTGACTGACTCACTGGTACCTGACTGACTGACTGACTGACTGACTCCCCTCTGTGACTAAGACTTGCTTAAGCCTCACATTGGCCAAATAAAATTCACTCTGAAGACCATCTAGACCCAGGCTTGCCTAATCTTGTTCATCAACCTTTTGATGAGGTTGCTCAAAAGTTGTTATTCTCCATTCACTTAACTCAGATCGTCAGAATAATTTAGTTTAGCGTGTCTCTGGAATGCCAGTCTAAAACCAGTGTAACAAATTGGAAGTGAGTCGTTGAGTGGTTCTTCTTGATCAAACTTGCCCAGGGGTTAACATTAACATTACGACCTTTGACCCCTCTTGCCCTAGGGTCAGCTCCCGTCCTCCTCCCAGGGCGTGATGAGGCTTTTCTTGGTGGGCAGGGTGCACGAGGGCACGGTGAACAGCTGGCAGGTGCTGTTGATGTTGCCGTGGTGTCCGTTGCTACTGACGGTGAATGTCGTCGTGGTGACGTGGGCGCCGTTGTCTCGTCCTCCACCCTCCCCCCTCTCGGCTAGGCCGTTCTGGCTGGCCAGCTCCAGCCTGGTGAGGGAGCCGTTGCGCACCAAGGCGGCCGAGTGGAGTGGTTGTAATGAAGAAAACCTGGACATGGAATAAAAATATACTCTCAGTAATAAGACTCAGAATACACTTATTTCGAGAGTGCTCGTCTGGGGGTAAGCTTGGCACTCACCATTTTGTTTCTGTTATTGCACTGAGCATGGGCATGATCTGAAGCAAACATTGAAATTGTTTTTGAGAGAGTAGTAGTGCAAGGCTTTTGCATTAGGTGTTTGCATTACTTCATACTTAATAATAATAAAGTGTATTTATAAAGCACACGTATCCACCATTATTGGTGCTCAAGGCGCTACATCATTATTACCCCTGCTCATTGGGCCAATGAAACATTCCAAAGACAATCTCAGCTCCCTGGGGAGTATACAGCTCGATGCTGCCATTTTGGCGCAAAGCAGCTAAAATCAATCACAGTAACCATCTCTGCCCTCACAGGTACCCATTTACTCCTGGGTGGAGAGAAGCAATGAGTGACAAAGTGCCTTGCCCAAGGGCACACGCACCATAGCCCCAGGCTGGACTCTAACCCACAACCTGCAGAATTACCCCCAGACCACAACTTCAATGCTCCAGACTATGAATTCAATGCTCCAGACCACGAAGCCACTGCACTTACTGCTTTCACTTACTACGTTATTACTTAATTACTGCTTTCAGAGCTGCTTCCGAAAATTCGAACAAACCTTAAGATTTTATGCCAAAGTCAATTTCCACATTCATGACCGAGTAGTGATACCATTATAGTACTTGTCTACTCTATAAAGTAACTTAGAATCTATAAACTATGTGACATTTGTTCACAAATTGGATGTTGTGGTGACGTGCTGCCATCTTTCAGCCAACGGTTCTCTTCTGCACTGCATGTATATCTCGTAAAATATGAATGGTTTAAAAAAAAAGTTCCAATAAATGTGGCCAAATATCATGCCAAAGATGCTTCAAATGTTTGGGTTGCCCTTGCCCGGCGCTTGCCTGTCGGCATGACATCACAGGGCACATGGTCTACAGCTGTACCTGATTGATTTCTTGGGCTGTTTGATGTTATTGTCCTCAGCACTGTGGCCATTCTGTACAGCAGGATTGTATCTGTCCAGATTAACAATTAACAATATCATTAACAATATATATACATCCTTGTTGCAAGAATCATTGAGGGTTGGGGGATATGATCACAGAAACTTTGACACATGGTGGAAGAGTATGTGGCATCTTGGTTGGGACACCACATAGACAATTCACAAATCTCAGCTTTGGCTTCAGGTTGTAGTTTTGTCATTTTTTTTCGGACTCCGATTTGATCCCATGCAATGTTATGTTTTATTGCAATCCTCGAAAATGCACCCGTGTCCCATTTTATCATATTTTCAATTTTCATTAGCCATTTTTAAGGGGTACCGGGGGTATTTTGGTGCTTCTTGGTTTTTATGCTAATGCGAATTTCCATTTTCATGGGCAAAACCGTGATGTCATTCCAGGCAGAAACCTCAATGCTCAACAGCTATTTCAGCACAAAAAGTTGCCGGAATGTTGGATATTTCACTGTCATAAACTTTCTTTTCTTTGGTGATTCGTTGTAGTGTCAGTACATGGCAGTGAGCCAATGAGCAACCCAACCCTTTCTCACAATTTTTTTCAATGAGCAAATTTTGGGTTCACAATTTGAACAGAACAGAAAACCCATAAACTGAACAGTGTCTTCCTGGAATGACATCACAGCAACAGCGCCCTCAGTTGTTCAAATAAGCATGGACAATTTAAATGTTTCATGAAGTGCAATTTTCCATAAAATTAACCAAAAAGGGATTTCATAAATACGCTTCATACATTTTATAAGAGGAGTAGAAAATTGCACAAAATGTGTTCCTAAGAAAAATCATCGCATGGACCCTTTAATGGCTCTGGGATTGAAATGGTCAACAGCAAAATACGGTTCAAAATGATTTCATAAGCCCGCACCCGATTTTACGAAGCGCTGTGACGCGTTGCAACTCGAATTACGATAGAAAATTCAATAGAAAATTCATTGAATAATTATGAATTAGACCGGAATATTAGAGTTGAAATTTCAAAGTAGCTATACAGTCCAATAAGAGATTGTTTTCCTTCAAAATTGCATCGCACGGCCGCCATTTTGTTTTACGTTTTAACAAATTTCGAGCTGAGATCCGACGACTCTTTGTTGAATATCAGACGACTATTTACTGTACACTGACTAAATACATAAAACAGTCACCGAGTTGTGCTATAAATACACCTACGACGCGTCGCATTTACGACGTGTTTTGTGAAATGGATCGCAGGATGCGTCGCAGCTGCGACGCATCGTAGAGATACGACGCGTCACATCGCTGCGATGCATCATAAGTTACGAAGAGTTTGATGAAATCGGGTGCAGACCACCCAAATTCTACCAAAATCCTTGAAGATTCCTAGCAAAAATATTTATAGGGGCAAGCAGAGGGCTAGGGACTTTGACTCATGAGTGACAGTACATGGGTTCGAACCCAGACAGGGAACATGTTGCTTGTGTTCTTGGGCAAGACGCTTTACTACAATTGCCTAACTTCACCTTGGAGTATAAATGGTTACCAGTGAAGGTAGAGACCAGATTGCGCTGATCTTGGCTGTAGAAAAGTGGTCTCATGGCCTGATGAAATGGGTAATATTGTGAAGCGTTTTAAGACTTTGCTATAATGCTATTAACTCCCTGATATTAGTTTTATTATAAACTGCTTTGACAAAAGTGACAAGGCACAATCAATTTCAAGCTTTTACAATGCAATTATAAATACAAAATTTTGGTAAATGTCTGACGTCTGGCCACAGTTTTATCCTTTGAGAAATTAGAGTTAAAAAAAAGAAAATGTGAAGGATGTCGCTGGGTCCTAAAAGCCCATGATTGTGTTAGGTTGGAAATGTTGAGGTGGTTGATGGAAGCACTTACATTTTAGTCATTTCGTAGTCTTGCAGGTTGCTGGCACTCAGTGAATGCACCATGCCAGTCTCACCGATGGATTGCCCCTCCCCTTCCTCGTCTCCCAGACTGCCCCGCCTCCTGAGGGCCATGGGTGTGGCATCGGGCGTGACTTTGGCCGTCCGCATGAAGTTCCGGCCAAAAGGAAAGAATCTGTGTCACATAGAGCAAGAGAGAGAGAGAGATAAATCAGCAACTGATTCCATGAAACTTGGTGTTACTACAACATGTACAATTTTTAGCTGCGGGTAGCAAATCATCGTGTCTCTCCGTTAGTACATTAGTTAGCAACAAACGCTGACATTGTCTATTGCTCCTAAATATTTTGACTGATTTCAATCTGGGGTCAAAGGTCATCATGGGGTCACTCGGGTCAAAAAGCTGATTTTGTTTATTCAAAAACACTTCTCCTTCCAGAAATTGCATGGCACAATCAGTCACGTGACTCATGCATGAACACAATTTGTTGGCCCGCAGCTTCTGAGACCGATCCAGCTCGTTTTAATACAACTTGAATAAGTTAAATTACCATTTTTACAATGGCTATTACTGTTACTGATTTAGCTTACATGCCATTTTCACAAAAGTTTTGTATTCTTCATTATATTATCCGACAACACACAAAAATCCTCCAATAAAGAAACAAGTATTTCATTATCCTAAAAAACAGAGAGCACTGTTGAATTCTTGTATCAACCAGGATTAGTTTAGCAATCATGTCTTTAACAGCATGTTCTAAAAGCACAAACATGTCTTCTAAACTGACATGTAATATTGTATCTTTTAAAACTCCTTCCTTAGGACTGCCCTAGTGACATAAAACTTGAATATTTGGGAGAAGCCTAAGAGAAATCCTGAAGAACTTCACTGACACTTTTAATTGATTTTTCCTTTGGAGAACTAAAAATTACGTTGGTGAAGGGTAAAAGCGGGGCAATCAAGGGGACAACCCAGCATATAAAGAGTATAATACAGCCATCTTACTTCTTCTTGGTGTTGGTGTGCATGGCGTTGGCCAGCAGTTTCTTGAATTCATTGGATCGCAGGAACCGGGGGTAGCTATCCTTCTTCATCAGAAGGAAGATGTGGTGTTGGGCCGCCTCAAAGGCAAAGCGGTTAGGCTTGCGTAGAGCTAGCTGGGTCATCTCAACGGTCCGACCATCCACGTTGATTTCACAGCGGGCACCAGGGGCCAGGAACTCCCTGCAAATAAATGTGCAATACACGCAATGTTTTCACTTAAAATCAAAAGCAGAATTAAGTTCTCAGAGGATGAAATCTCACTTTTTTGGAAAATGACAGCAAACCAGGCGCAAGATTTCACAGGATGCTTGAGACTATTATGCACTTACAGTCAAGTAAGGTATTTTATAATACTATGGTAGTTTAGTTTTTTTTAATGTTTGCAAATGTTGTGCATTACCTTTAAAATTGCTAACTGAACACAAATGGCAATCAGATACAAATATGATTTTTAAACCTTTTCTAATTGTTTTTACTCCAGTTCTTTTTTTTTCAAGTAAAAATTTCATATGATACTCTTTCAAGGTGTCAATTTATATTAACGACTTCAAACCTTTATGTTGTGGTAATGACAAGAGATTTCCATTATACTACATTGCTTAATTTTCCTCATTTTGACATTATTTCTAAATCATCTGGAATTTATGTGGTCACACAATCTTTTTGTTTGGCTAAAATGTAAAAAGGGTGGTGTTACTGTTAGGAAAAGCTGGGCAGTATCAATTTTAATAGGACAGCAAAACTTCAACATGTAGAATCATTTGCATTCATCCCAAAAGTAACCTACTGATTATTATCAAAACGCTTACTTGGATTAAAGATCGTACTGGTACTAAACACGACCGGGAAATTATTCCGTCTGGCTTGCTGTCATTTAGAAATAATCAAGAGATGTACCAGTAGGCGATTTCCTATGATCAGTCAACTGACTGATTTTTGCACATAAAGAGTGCTTGTGACGAAATCGTGTTCTGTGGTGAAAAGTTTGTGCACGATTTTCACTGTATTCTCAAACAGAGTAATATCCACTGAGCTGAAACTTCAACAAGTTGGGTTTTGAACCTTCTTCTTTGGATTTGGAGTGGTGTTATTATTGAAATGAACAAAATCCATGAAAAAGCAAATGATCCTACCGGGTACATGTAATATGCCTTTCATCATCATGTTCCAAAACTCCCATCTGCCTACTTCTAATCTGCAGTAGCTTGACTATGTTCTTTTCTGTACAAATAGCCTCAGGTTGCCGACAAGCTATCGACGATATTAATATTTTTTTAAACAAATACAGAAGGAGAGATAAATCACCTGTATATCTCATGCACCTGCTCAGGCACGGAGGACTGGGGGGCATATTTCAGCTGCTCACAGGCCTGCCAGAACCGGATGTTCTCCTGACTATACTCTTTCTTCAGGAACATCTCAAACTCGTGCCGGCCCGTGGCGTCACGCAGGAGCTCCCGTAGGCTGATACACCAACGACGTACCCGCCGCTCGGTGGGCGTATCTACCCTGGAAATTCAACATAAAAACACAAGGATGAATATTAGGCTTCTTTCAAAATGAGAATATGTTTTTACAGCTAAGGCTATGCATTATAGCAGGACAACAGCAAAAATCTGAAGATTTTGACACTGCCATTGAACTTGCGATCAAAAGACCATTGTACATGTAGTTGTTAACCCCAAACTGTAGCTGAAATTATCCCCAACTCCAATTGTTCTCCAATAGGCTTCTTTCAAAATTGTCCTGCTATAATGCATAGCCTTAGCTGTAAAAACATATTCTCCATTAGCACAGTTTTTAAAAATTGACAAACAGTTCTAAAACCACCAAATAACACATTAAACCAAAACCTTTTACATTTTTGACAGTATTTTCAATTGCACATCTGGATTTACTTATTTGGATACATATCTCTTTGATATGCTCAAATCACAAAGATTTCTAGGATAAAATAACGTAACTCAATTGTTTTGTGGGATAAAGTAATGATTTCCTTTGGGCTCCGAGGTGGACTCAACATTTCAGACAGACGTCAGCTTATCTGTGCTTTTCTTTGAGTGGTGCATCATAACTTTTATTTGATAGCTCCTTTCTCCTTTCAATGTTATTCTGAAAAAAATTAAATCCCAGAAAATGTTTAAAATATCACTTCCCATCGATATTAAGAACAAAACCATGTTCCTATCATACACGTTTGATCCAAGGATGGCTGTCTCTGTATACTGTCATTTTCTTACTTAAAGAAAAACTTGATCAACATCATGTGGATAACAAACGTGTTTCTTGACTTGGTTTCCTAATCTTCATTGAGAGAGGACATGCACAAATAACAAAAACAAAATCTTCTTGTTTACTGTTGAAAGCTGAAAATCAAAATACGAGGCTTCAAAATGCCTTTCAATATTAATACACAAGAGAGTGCAATATACTTCACTACCACAATCACATGAAACACCCGCACGCAAACAACAGTAAAATGTGTTTAACTAGGCCACCCGAAACTTTAGTCTTGTTTCAGGTACTCTGTCCACTGACAGGTTTTCAATGCCTTGCAATAGTGCCTGCCTTCCTTTATAACTACAGAAAATTAAACACAAATATTTCACAAATCTTCATCACTCTGCTGATCAATTTCATTTATCACTGAAAGGAATGAACATCTACAAATTTATTTAAGGACTGTACAATATTGTTTGGTGGATCCATTCAAAAATAAACAAGATCTAAAATTTGCATGGCCAGAGCATTGACGTAAAGTTAATCGACAGGCTTTTATTGACGGTGCGCTCAGTGAAACTCACAGCATAGTGTTGAGCGTCCACATTGTGGTGTCGTCTGTTATCCAAGGGTTGCTAGGCTGCGCCCCAGCCAGGAACGGGTCATGCTCTGCGTAGCGGTTACATCGTCGCATCATCCTGCAGGGAGAAAGGTGGGATGGAAATTTAAGTAAAGAATTCAAGACATGAGTTGAGACAATTAATGGATTTGTTATGTGCTGTCATGCAGTTGGATGGTGTCTTGAACCGTAAAACAGTGAAAATTTAATGGTTGTTCTGTAAAAGTGCCAGGGGAGGGGGGGGGGCTTGCAGAATAACCCCCCCCCCCTTCCCACCCAGTTTATTTGTTTTGACACCTTTTTTATTGGACATTCATAAATACCTCAGACAGTTTAGCTATTCCTATTGGTCGAGAGCCCGTCACGTGGCCGGTCTTAAACGGATGATAAAGACATGGCTAGCTGGTCTTAAACACTTTTCCAGTGTCACAATAAAATGTGGACTCCTAAAAATCCAGTGCCTCTTACCCTTTCATTGGTTGAACGTTCACAATCCTCACGTAGGCATGCGCAACACTACAAGCGAGTCAGAATTTTATAGTTCTAAATTCAAAACGCAACGCCCCAGGTACGTTCTGCGTGACATCGCGCAGAACATGTTACGCGCGCGTCAATCTCCATAAAAGGGTTGTTTACATCTTACTCGCCAGCTGAACACTCCATTATTTTGCTAGAGGGATGTTTCAAAAAGCATGAAGTGAACTTGTTGAACAAAATCGGGATTTTTTTACGGATAAGGTATTTATGAATGGGAATAAATATGTGCTCGGTCGGTATTTATCACTCTGTTTAATACCGCTTAGAGTCTGGGTGCTGATAATTACCCGAGCCTCTGGCTCGGGTAATTATCAGCACCCAGACTCTAAGCGGTATTAAACGAGTGATAAAAACCTCCAGAGCACACATTTATTCCCTTATTCCCAATTCTCAAACTTCCTGGGAATGGGCCGCAAACAATCTCTCGTTTTCAGTGAACGTTTACTAGAAAACGCACTCCTTTTACAGATGGAAGTATGGGATGTTATAATAACCGAAGTATGGGATGTTATAATAACCGTAATTTTTTTTAAATAGTTTGTCTGAAGGAGCTCATTTTAATATATATCTTATAAAAATAGATGTCTCTTCTTGAAACCCACGGTCGACAAAATCAAATGTACATTTCCAAGATTTTCTTTGGGGTGGGGGGGGGGGGCAGAACCCAGCTCCTTCAGCAGCACATTGGATCCATTAAAAAAAGGCCAAATTAAACATCATAAAATCTAATTAATTCCCAAAGGGTAACTAAAAGTGGGCCTTCCCTTTTAAGTACTTATGAACACTCTAATTGGATAATGATCAGTCCCTGGTTGATCAGCCAGAATGCAGATGAGCCAATTAAACATTTGCAAACACAAAGACACAATACAAGTCTTGCGAGGCCTTACGTAACCAATTCTGCACAAAATGCAAATCAGTGGTGGAGACAGTCACGTAGAAAAGCTCAAGTAACCAATCTAGAAAAGCTTACATGTACATGTAAAATGGGAATAATTACAACATTTGCTTTCGCTGTAAGTTTCAGAAATGGATTTATTTGGGGGTTAGCATTTTATAGCAAATATTGTCACTTGCTGAAGTTTTGTGTTCATAGATGCTGGAAAAACCAAGAAAAACACTCATGTTCCTGAAGTCTGGTTCCACGACCCCACTTAAGATGAAACAGAGCAATTTATAGACGTCGGAGAATTGTAAGGTCAGGGAACCAGTCTAGCTGGCTTGTACACATTCATAGGGCGTGTAATCGATTGCAAACAAAATGCAGACTAACTAAATATGGTAAACTGGGGGCAGTATTTATAAAAAGCCAGTTTTTTTTCAATGCTGGTCGACCAGCGTTGGAAATTGATACAAAAATACCACTTTTCTTAAAAATGATAGCACACCAGGTGCCATGATTTTACAGGATGCTTTAGACTGTCATTCACTACCAGTCCAGTATCTAGTAAGCTATTTCATAATAACTTGGTAGTTTTGTTTTTTGATGTTTACAAATGTTGGATATTCCCTTTAAATATTTTATGACCAACACTTTAATTGGATCTGCCCGTGATCAGTCCCTGGTTGATCAGCCAGAATGCAGATGAGCCAATTAAAGATTTGCAAACACAAAGACACAATACAAATCTTGAGAGGCCTTACGTAACCAATTCTGCACAAATGCAAATCAGTGTTGTAGCAATTTAACACATCATGTGGAGACAGTCACGTAAGCCAATCTAGAAAAGCTTACGTTACGTGTAAAAAGGGAATATACAACATTTGCTTTCGCTGTAATTTTCAGAAATGGATGGATTTAGGGGGTTAGTATTTTATAGCAAATATTGTTTTAAACTGATTTGTTTGAAGTTTTGTGTTTGTAGATGCTGGAAAAACAATCACGTTCCTGTAGTCTGGTTCCCTGACCCAACTTAAGATGAAACGGAGCAATTTGTAGACGTCAGGGAATTTTAAGGTCAGGGAACCAGTTTAGCTGGCTTGTATCAGTTCATTGGTGTGTAATCGATGGCAAACAAAATGCGGACTAATATGGTAAATTGGGGGCAGTATTTGAAAAAAGCTAGTTTTTACAGGATGCTTTAGACTGTCATTCACTAACAGTCCAGTAAGGTATTTCATAATAATTTGGTAGTTTTGTTTTTTGATGTTTGCAAATATTCCCCATATACTATTTAAGTATGCATGCAAATTGTACGGTCATTTCTAGAATAAACAACTTATTATTTACATACGGGAAATTCCATGCCAACTCACATTACATTTGGAAGGGCAACTCTGTGCTGTATAAAGTCAAAGCATTTCGGGTGTGTTTTTTCCCCACAGAAGATCCCTTGAAATGAAGTGACTAAACGCCAACAAAATGACCTTCTATTGGTTTGGCAATAAGTTTTTAAATTGGTAACCCTCACGTTACACACAAAGAACATGGAACAAATTTAAATACCTTGCATTTGCAAGTTTTCCTCATACTGTGCAGATGGAAAAATCTTGTTAGTGCCCTTACATCATTAGAGTATAAGTCATACTACTCTACCATTATAATTGTAAAAAATTATCAATCATAAAATCTCCAGAGGGATGTGTTTTGGTAACTCACGTTATACAGTAACTCACATGACAGTTTGTCTGCCTGTGGAGCTACAAGTTTAAGCATTTAAGAAACTAATTATCAAAACAAAATCTTTCGGCATGGGATACATGTATGAACCCTTTTCTCTTCCTAAAAACCAGCAACACACAATAACACAAGTTTGCATATTGCATACATAAACAAGGTGCCAGAATCCATAATTTTGGGCAAAATACCAGTAAAAAAAAATATACACTTAACAATATTCCATGTCACTGGCACATCATTCGAATGACAGGTCTTGTTGCCCCCTTTAATTTGTACCACATTTGAGGTTATGGTGCTTAAAGTTTTGAAGATTTCATAAATTTTCCATTTTCAGCTACATTGTATGTCCACATTCTCATGGAATTGCCCATATGTACTTTTCAGCAGCGTATTTATGTACGGTACTCATATGTGTAGCATCTTCTCAAGCATGTCTGACCCTTGGAAGTTGAACCTACATCCATCAATCCTCCTGTTTACATAAACATTCTATGCTGCCAGAAAGTAGCCTAGCATTAAAAATAACTGCATGTGAATCAACTCCATCCTCTTTGAGTTTAGTGGCATTTTTTTGGTTGGAGTTTTGGCTTAATTTTGTATGCACGTGTACGTTACGGATATGCTGTCCTTTTTGGGGGCACTGTTTAACACAAGTCTTAAAAAAATACTAAGGATGAAATTTCTCTATCACGTACTTCGTCTAGCTACAACTGTTTTGAATGAATATTCATTTATACATGTACGTTACCAATTTTCTATTTACCAATTTAACAATTCCTATATTAGTCGAGAGCCTGTCACATGGGTGGTTTTAAACTGCCGGTAAAAGCACAGCTGCGTTCTAGGCCACATCAAGGCACTACGTGCCACGAGCCAATTTCCATATAAGGAGATTATAAGGAGATTTTAGGACAATACATTTAAAGCACATTTTAGACATGGCAAGAGGGGTGTTTCACAAAACATGAACAAAAATTGTTGAATATAAAATCATTGGAAATTTGTGAAATTTTGACTTGTTTTGAAAAATCTCTGTGTTTGCTCTTTGTGTCACACCTTTGTGTTTAGTTCCATAACTAATTCCTATTTCAAAAGGGAATGTTTGTTAACTGAATTATTTTCCACTGTCACCAATGATGTATCAACTGTAAATAAGGGACTTAATATGTACCTGGCCAGTTTTAAACCAAGTACGTTTAAAACCGGCAAGGGGCCTGGACGCGGATAATGGCCGGAGCACAAACAAACGAAAGCACAATTAAACAAAAGAGATTTTTCAACACAAGTCACAACCTCAACTGGATCTGTTCAGAAATGTTCATGGCAAAATTGTTAAAAAAGGAATGGTAAATGAAAAGCTCATCTTTTTTCCAACAATGCAGATTTTTTTAAAACCGTTTAAAGCAGAATTTATAATTTCTTCAACTACAGAAAAACTAAACATTTCCATAATGGAAATCTCTGACTAGCCAATTCTACCCTGTACGGGTTGCACACGCTAACACTAACAGCATGCTCAACACATACGACCAGTGTTTACATGTACTTAAGACTGGACCTCAGATGCCCGAAATGTTTAGCAGCGACCCATTTCTTTCCATATGCTGCCATGGCAACCAAGGCCTCAACAATAACCGACAGCCACAGGCCAAAGGTCACAGCGTGTGTATATATCTACGCATATTAATTGCCCGTCAGTGAAGTGGCAAGAACAAAATAAAGATTGCAAAACACCCTTGTTATAAAATATGATGATTAATCAATATGAGGAGAGCAATTTAACTAAAAGCGCTTATTTTAAGAGCATGAAAGCTTGGACGCATGAATTGAAGGTAAAAGCAATTACATTAAGTGCTGATGAATGCTGTGACAACTAAATGACTAAATACGTAAATATGATTAAAGCAATATATTTGAAAATG